CTTATTCACAATAAATAAGTTATATATACGCCTAAAAAGTGTACAAAACAACACCAATAATAATAATTATAATAAAAAAAGAAACAGTAAATACAAGTTTCAATAAATATTTCGGATAACAGATATCCTTCATCGGTAAGATGTAAAATGAATCTTATCAATCTATTCTGATTATACTAAAACAATCATGAACGGAATACAAATAAAAAACCGAACCACGCTTGTATAATTATAAAATTTCATTGAACTACCAGCTGCGATGATTTAAGTTAGCGCAGCGATATCTGAACTACACCCTTTCCATTGATCCAATTTGGTACCAACGTTTTTATTTTTTTTTTATCCGAAACCTTTTCCGAGTGATACTCTCCTCCTTGGACCAAGCAGTGTTATGGTGACCTATAGTTGTTAATTTCTCTGTCATTTGGTCTCTTGTGGAGAGTTGTCTCATTGGCAATCATACCACATCTTCTTTTTTATATTTATGGTCTATGATTGTAATAGCCAGTCGATTGAGATCTGCCTAATAGCGTGTCCAGGGGGTCTCAAATGTCGACTAAAAGGAAGGTCCGGCTTACATTCATAGTCACTACGATAGCCGTTCATACGTTTGTGATATGTCAGGGAGAGAGTTCAAAGAATACATTTTCTTAAGATCGTGTGTTGTATCTTGTATGAAGGATGGCATATTTTCTACGTGTTGTCTTAAATGAAAGTCAATTAATTCTGATATTTTCTCTGTAGGTTGGTCATTGTCTGAAACTATTGGTCGTCCTTTTAAGTTCGTCAAGTTAAAATCGCTAATTCTAATTTAAGGCGATCAGGGGCCTGTTTATCGAAGCGCTCTCTTAGGACTAGGACATGTCCTAAGATCATCTTAGGACGTATCTTTGTCCTAATTTCGTTTACCAAACATGTCGTTACTTAGGAAAAGTCATAGGAATCGTCCTAACTTTATGACACCTAAGTAGGTTCTTAAGATGGTCTTAGGATGGTCCTAACTTTAGGATATATTTTATGATGGTTAATTTGTAAACAAATACGACCGCCATCTATATATGGATCCCCCTTTTTCTAAATATTTTTCTTTTTTCATTTATTTTATTTGTTCTTGCTCTTATCCAAAAGATATTACAAAAACAGTAGTATATATATATATATGACACCCCTCTATTCATATTTTCCACGTGGAAAATGATAATAGAGGGGCATCGTTTATATATATAAAACACATAAAATAAATGGACATGGCACTCATACCACATCTTCTTATTTCTATAGGTTAAAATATTAAAGAATATTTATTTTTAAAAAGTTCAGAAAAAGGGGGTCCATTACCCAAGCGCATGTGAACCGTAATGAAATAATTTATGTATTCCGTATTTTTATGAAAGATGCACGAGATTTGCCTTTGGACTCTGTAAAGTATAAAACCGTGACACTTCGAATTAAACTCACTCAAAAATATATAATGATGGTTACCGATCGTCTTTTATTAGTTTTCACTGTTAATGTTGTTTCCAAATAATTTGATCAATTATTATATAAAACGTTGTTACATTTTTGTGTTTTTGTTTTTGTTTTTGTTTCATAAAGTTTGAATGTACCATCATCAGATAAATATTATTTCTTTTCTTTATGATTAATATACTATATAATAAAATATTAATTTTCGCGAATCATTTAGGTCACAGAAATTCCAAAAAATGGCATCAGTAAGGAGAGTTGTACAAATGATGTGAATACACAGAACCCGGATCCAAATTATCTTTTACTAAAAGTATTCATCATTTTCTGTTTTGTATGTACTAACAACATTTCATTTTTCTACAATTTCGATTAAAATATTATAAAACCTGTAGTTCAATAGGTCACATGCCCCAAATAAACATTCCCCGATTGGTCGAACTACTGTGGCCTCGGTGTAAAGCAACGCAAGCCTCGATGTAAAGATCACGCTTCCAAAAATAGAGGTATGTCCCAACTTAACATTCCCCGATTGCATGATTGGTTGAATTGCTGCTCGATGTAAAGCAACGGAAGCCTTGATGCAATGAAGAAAAGGGGTTGACAGGATAAACGTAATCGTTATAAATTTTAACTTCATGGTTCTTATTCAAGCAAATTTAATAAACAATGATTTTATACAGTTGTGTTATTGTTTTCACCTTACATAGGGCTTTATTTCTGATCTTATTTCTGTGTACACAATTCTGAATCTACATATTTCACCTATATCAATATTAGGAAATCCGTTTGGACGATTCCATATACTATTATGTTTTAGGGTTTTTTAGCTTCAGTGTCGAGTTGGTGTATAATATTGAGGGCTGTCTGCGAGAAATAAATCTTTTTTTCTGATAGATTAACTAAATTCAAAACCAATATAAAAATAGTTAACAGATATATTTTATTTAACTGAGTAAATTGATCGGAATGTGAATGATACATAAACCTAAAATTCGTTTTGGTCTATCCCAGTGATGACATTTGCGCGGGAATTTAGTCCATTAACATCGTAATATAACTTACTTTGGATTATAATTATCTTTAGATGTAATGTTACAGGATTTAATGTGAAATCATTTGTCTCTTCTTTTAAAGTACACGAGTTTGACGTCAGGTTTTTACACATGAAGTCTCTAGTCTAAAAAAAGCCAGTGACAGAACTATAAACAGATATTGAGATAAGCAACTGTCTAGGGCCAAGCATAAGGGAGGTGAAAAGGCCAATATTACGCAGAACGATCAACAGTTACATAGACGGATCCAGGGGGTGGGGAAAATTTGGTTGATTTTATAGGGAAGCAGGGGCGGATCCAGCCATTTTATAAAAGGGGGGGGGGGGTCCCAACTCAGGACAAAGGGTGGGTGGGGGGTGTGTTCCAACTATGTGTCCCCATTCAAATGCATTGATCGTCCAAAAAAAGGGGGGTTCCAACCCTCGGAACCCTCCCCCGGATCCGCCACTGGGGAAGCATGACGGGAGTGGGCAACCCTTAGTTCAGTCAGCGGCCACCCCCCTTTTATGAAAAGTTGTGGATCCGCCACTGAGATTTATATAAGCAGGTTTTCTTTGTGTAGATACCTTAAAATATCACCAACTGTGACTGAGTACACAATTTGATTCATTTTAGCTCATTAGCTGGACTCACTCACTAAAAAGGTTCATTGCGGGCCTGCTCACTGGCTAACATTTTACGATATTCATGACTTGTGTAGAAAAGCCGATAATCTATACATGTGTGTGAGGAGTAGTTATCAAGCTTGCTTTCGTCTGTAAAAACTGTCTTAGGCCAAGTTAGGGAGGTGAAAAAGCCAGTAATAGAACGATAAACAGATGATCAGGTTTTCTTCATATAGATCCCTTAAAATATCCCCCACTGAGGACACAATTTGATTCATTTTAGCTCATTAGCTGCGCTCACTTGCCATAATAGGTTCATTGCGGCTTACTGGCTAATATGTGTAGAAAAGCTGATAACCTATACATTCATGTACATGTATATGGTCAGATCATATGTTTTCGTACGTCATATGAATTTGTACTATGCATGCCTTTTCAATGGAAATTGTGACGACAGTATGCATTCTTAATAGCACGAAAAATGATGAGAAGAGGATACATATGTCAACCAAAATTTTTCAGCAACGTCAAAATATGTGAGGACACCCTATCAAGATCTATCAAGCTTGTGTTCATGTTGCATTAAAACTGTTTTAGGAAGGTGAAAAATACCAACAATATAACAATAAATAGATAATCGATATTGTAAAATATCAATGTGTTGAAAAGCCAATGATCTACATATTTACTTAAATATGTCAACCATAAAATAAAACTGATTTAATTTACACCACAACTGTTGAAAAAACCTTTATGTTTATATAATTTATCTCATTCTATAGTCCATTCAACTGACAGAATCAGTGTACATTTAATGAACTCTTTAATAACAAGAATCATCATGGACTATTCTTTACAGCAATATCTGTTAGCCATTTAGGGGTCTTTTGCATTCAAAGTTTAGTTTTAGTGGGTTTATTTTGCGAAAAAGAACTCAATTTCCAGATCAAAGTTAACATTTTCTATATATTTTGCTGTGTCAAAATGACCTAATATTATAAATATAAAGGACAGTACCCATATAGACCCAAAAATGGTATATCACATTCTACACATGACATTTTAGCAGGAAAGACTGCCATTGGAGTATATAACTTTTAACCTGTGTATATATAATTAAAATACGATAATAAAATTCATGTCTTTTTCAGGACTTCTGATCCAACCATGTAGTATCACTATGGCATGTTTGTGAGATATGGTTTTGGTGGATAGGATGTTCATGAAGGACCTGTAGTACAAAGTATATCACTGGATTGAGCTCTTTGTCTAAGTGTATTATTAAAGTGCTTTGCTTTGAGCTCAGTTCATTGTTATGCAATTCATTCTTTGTGAAATAAAGATTTGACAGACAACTCTCATGTACAAGGATTTGTCAGGGTAGTATCCATTCTATGTACAATGTAAGTAATAAGGAGATAAAAGCATTTTATTATGATTTGAACCAAACATTTTTTGTCCATTAACCAAATTTAAAAAAAAGAACAAATTTACCCGACAATGCTACACTCGCTACTAGCAATATGATGCTAGGTTGTTTTAATACATCTGTACTGCCTACTGATGACTCGGTCCTGAGTGTAAATGGTCATTCAGTATGTTAAAAAAAAAGGGCAAAATTTATAAGGCCTATCTGGCCTAATTTATTTCTAAAACTATATTTCATTGTACATGTTCAACATTTTTCATACATTTGTTTATTTCTTAATTTGTGTGAATTAACATTGTTACAGTAAATGTTAATTACTACACTTTCATACCACAACAAATACTGTATTGGTATCATTTATATTTGTATCCATATAACAAAAAAAATTGAAAATAGAATAATTTTGCAATACCTTTTTCATTATTGAATACTATAACTTTTTTGATATTTAGACATATTAAGTAGATTTTCATAATACCCACTTGACAAGCTTGAAATTCTATCAGATTACTTTTGGAGCAGTTATGAGTCTTTGAAGCATGCTCACAAAGGTTTTTTTGTTGATATCATTTTCATATTGGTCAAAACTTTTTTTTGCTTCGGCCAGCTTTGGATGAGATGTTATCAAAGAATTGATAAAAAACAACACAGAAGTTTACTTTCTAGCTCAACTAGCCCCAAGCATCATGTCAGGCATTGTCATTACTAAAAACCAATAAATGTCTTCTAATCTGAGAAACAATTTCGACATTTTAACAAAATATTTTACTAATGATACTGACAATCCACCACAAAGTAATATAAATAGAACCATACAAATAGTGAGCAAATACATATAGAAAAGATGTGGTATGATTGCCAATGAGACAATTCTTCACAACAGACCAAAATGACACAGAAATTAACAACTACGGGTCAACGTACAGCCTTCAACAATGAGCAAAGCCCATAACACATAGTCATTTATGTTATTTATGTACACAAAATAAACGAAAAACAAATATTATGTAACACATAGACAAACAACAACCACTGAATTACAGCCTCCTGATATCATGTTCTCGGATATCATCTCCCATTTAAAAAAAAATCAGATGAAAAAAATGAACCTATTATGTGTTGCGCTCCTAGCTACAAAATGTATCCAAAATCAAAGATGTGGAAAATATTCTATCATAATCATTTGGTAATTAATGCAATTAGTGTCTCTTCCATGCCCGTCTTGAACATAAAATCTAAATATTAAATAAATAACACTCCTCATGCTCAGGTTGGTTGTCATCGTGCAAAACAGTTAATAACAACATATAGGACAAACATAGAACTCCTTTTGTCATATAAAACACTGTCAAACATCCAAACATACTATCCACATTCATCTGTGTCCACACTTGTAATATTAATAATATATCTAATTTTTAATCTTGTAATTATTTACTACTGCTGAAATTAAATGCATTCTTAAACATTTAAAATTTTTGAATTCCTCTTTTTCTTTACGCCTACACTTAGGACAGCGGTTAGGACATCCTAGCTATAAGACAGTCCTAAGATAGCTTCGATGTGCATGCTGAGACATGTCATAAGTCGGTCCTAACATTGTCAGGCTAATTTATTCCTAAGAGAGGTCTTAGGACAAATCTTAGGACAGCCTCGATAAACAGGCCCCAGATGCCTATTATTTTTGCTGATTATCTAAATTTTGAAGACGCTCGAACTTTCAAAAGTTAATGTTTTATTTTAACATAAATCCAAAAATTTCGATAACTTTCTATTGAAAAACTGCAATATTTCCTGTATGATATATCGTGATTAATTTCCTCTTTTTTAATATCCTCGATCAGTTTTGTCAATTGTTTTTTCCTAATTACAATGTGTATGCACGATGTGACATTTTTATCACAAGATACAATAGTATCAAGGCTCTGGATAATATGTGATTAATTAAATTATCAAGAAGAACATTGAACCTGTGACTCCAACACGAGTTGTGCAAATATCTATATTTAAAGCATTATGCGGAAGTTTGATTACCCTGATAATCAAAGTGTACATTCACATTAAGATGTCGGAAACTGATCGACTATTGGGTCCAGGCACAAGGTAAAGTAAATGACAAACTATTAGGAAGAAATTATAAAATTTATAATGATAACTTTCATTTTTTGCGAAGTTGAGTAATAAGCTTACTTTCACTTTCTGTTTTCATCTTCAGAAATATATAGGTCATCACAAGTTATTGATAATTATACAGGTGTGTCAATCGTCAATATTTCATATGTAGCGCCCTCTTGTATTACTATGTATCTTGTTAAATGTTGCACAACAGACCGGAAGTAGGTGGACTTACGAAAAAAATGTATATATAAATATATACTTACACGGTTATATACGAATGAAAAAGAAATAAAATATGAACAGGTAGGACTATTTTGTTGTCAACTCCCAAGAAGCTGATATACATTTTGTATTATGATATCGAAGTATAACATTTATTTATATCTTTTGTTTGCTTATATATATATATATCATATTTCTTCCTCGTTGTTCCTACTACATGATAGCATTTGATAGTATGTACCTCTATTATAAACATATATGTACAGCCTGTGTGCGATTTTTCTAATAATTTTTTTGTTTTTTTTTTTTGTTTGTTGTTTAAACTTTCGAATGAGATGATTTGAGATCGGTTTGTTTCAAATAGTAGACCTTTGAGAACCCAAGTTTCATGTACAACCAGTGGCGAAGCAAGGCCTTTTTTAAGTGTACGCCCGAACCTCGGCGAGTGGTCTGGATCCAGGGTGTAGCTCTGAAAGGGGCTCCTGTGGGGGACCCCCGGACCTTCACGGAAGCTCACGCGTTATCGAGAAAGAGATACAGGAGATGTGGGGTGAAAGTGCAAACCACATATCGTATCACAGCTTCCATAGAAATATAAAAAAGAAAACTTAATGAAAAATGTTGTCCTAGATTTTTTAGTTGTAATCTCTGTCCTGCATTTTTATTTTTCACTCTATTCGTTCCTGCCTTTTTTTTATTAGTTTATCCTGACTTTTTTATAATAAATTGTCATCCTGCATTTTTTTTTGCCAAGTTGCTCATCCTGCCTTTTTTTTTACTCAAAAATCCTGTCCTGCCTTTTTTTCAAATTTCATCCTAGCTCTTTTTTCCTTCAGTATGGCCACGAAGTGGTATATTCTGTTTTCACAAAGGATTATTACATTAACTATTTTTGAAAGTATATGTCGGTTTTTTGTTAGAATCTCATGATGAAAGGATGACAGTGGAGAACTTGAGAAGCTATCGACTTGGATATTGAATTTGCAACATCCAAAACGTCTTGTCCAAATTTTACACAATAATGGTGAGAAAAATCATCTTCCATGTGTTGTTTTACATGTGACAAGTTTGACCAGTCATTTACAGGAGACAAAATTCAAAATTATTTTATTTTCATATCACATGTCGTTTGGCAAAAATAGTACAATAAACGTTTTACCTAGTTAAATCCGTAATGCTGTCTCCTTGGCTTCAGACTATCAGACACCACCACTTTCATTGTTAACAAGATTTTATATATAATAAATTGCTTTGAACAATAGGAAATTGAGTAGAATTCACAGTAGATTCAGACTTTGACAGAAAATGAATAAATATGTAATATTATATCATTTGATTCAAAAAGTTAATGTCGTCATTGAAGATAACATTACAAGCCTCATGTGCTTTTAAGATTAAAATTTTTTTTTCAAAATTTATGTGTACGCCCGGGCGTTTTGACGCAAACGTAGCTACGCGCCTGCGGTGGTACAAGTAATAGTGTATAATTATGGGGGTATGATATCTCTATGGTATAATTTTGATGTTGATAAGCAATAGCTAGAAGTTCTAAGATTGTAATTTGAGTCATGATCCATTTTAAAATTTCTTTTTTATAACTGGATTTATAGTAAAAAATATGATGAAAAAATAAATTACGAAATTCAATGCATGTGCACTGAACATATTGATGAAACAATAATTCTATAATATTAAGTTGTTTTTTTTTCAAAATAAATGCATACATGTACTTTGAAATGTGTTTCTTTAATAGCTTTGTTATCTAATCAATCAATATTATCTATAGATATCAAATATGAGAGTGTAATGTTTTCTCACCGTGTTCACACTACAAGATCCTATCATTAAATTAGTGATGCTTATAGAATGTATAATAGTTGCTCAAATATGTAACATGTTAATGGGCATCTCCCTGTGATGTTTTTTTGTTGATTTTAGTCTCTGATGCATGGTTTTTATGCCCCCGCCGTAGCGGTGGGGGCATTAAGTTTTACCCTTGTCCGTCTGTACGTACGTCCGTACGTCCCAAAATTGGTTTCCGTTCTCTAACTTGAGTTTGCCTCAACCAAATGTTATAAAACTTATACACAATGCTTATTAACACAAAACACAGATCAAGTTTGAATTTTGGTGGCGTCTCTTTTTAACCGTTCTAGAGATATGCCCCTTTATAAATAGAAAAATTGCAAAATGTTTAGTTTCCGTTCTCTAACTTAAGTTTACCTCAACCAAATGTTATGAAACTTATACACAATGCTTATTACCACAAAACACAGATCAAGTTTGAATTTTGGTGGCGTCACTTTAACCGTTCTAGAGTTATTCCCCTTTATAAATGGAAAATTGCTAAATTTTTATTTTCCGTTCTCTAACTTAAGTTTGCCTCAACCAAATGTTATGAAACTTATACACAATGCTTATTACCACAAAACACAGATCAAGTTTAAATTTTGGTGGCGTCACTTTAACCGTTCTAGAGTTATTCCCCTTTATAAATGGAAAAATTGCAAAATTTTTAGTTTCCGTTCTCTAACTTAAGTTTGCCTCAACCAAATGTTATGAAACTAATACACAATGCATATTACCACAAAACACAGATCAAGTTTGAATTTTGGTGGCGTCACTTTAACCGTTCTAGAGTTATGCCCCTTTATAAATTGAAAAATTGCTAAATTTTTATTTTCTTCTAAATATCAAGTAATTTTTATACGACCGCAAAAAAAATTTGCGGTCGTATATTGGTATGACGTTGGCGTCGTCGTCGTCGTCGTCGTCCGAAGACACATTTGTTTTCGCACTCTAACTTTAGTTTAAGTGAATGGATCTCTGAGAAATTTTACCATAAGGTTCAATACAACAAAAGGAAGGTTGGGATTGATTTTAGGGGGTTATGGTACCAACAGTTAAGGAATTAGGGGCCAAAAAGAGGCAAAAAATAAGCATTTTTGTAACTTCCAGACATAACTTGTGTGTTAGTGTATGGATCTCTCTGACATTGTACAAATAAATAAATAAATAAATAAATAAATAAATAAATAAATAAATAAATAAATAAATAAATAAATAAATAAATAAATAAATAAATAAATAATCTTTATTTCAAGAGGATAATCCCATTAGTTAAAACTAATCTTCCTGAGAGTCCTCAAAATAATAATTACATATTTATAAGTAAATACAATATTATGATGATATATTATACACAATATACAATTGTCTCTAGATAATAATGAAAAAGCATATTAATTTGCACAATTGATGAAAAATTTGTAACATTTTGTTTTAAAAGACACAAGTGTATTACTCATTTTTATACGACCGCAAAAAAATTTTTGTGGTCGTATATTGGTATGACGTTGGCGTCGTCGTCCTCGTCGTCGTCGTCGTCTGGCGTCGTCCGAAGACACATTGGTTTTCGCACTCTAACTTTAGTTTAAGTAAATGGATCTCTATGAAATTTTACCACAAGGTTCAATACCACAAAAGTAAGGTTGGGATTGATTTTTGGGGTTATGGTACCAACAGTAAAGGAATTAGGGGCCAAAAAGGGGCCAAAAATAAGCATTTTTGTAACTTCCAGACATAACTTGTGTGTTAGTGCATGGATCTCTCTGACATTGTACCACAAGACTCCATATCACAAAAGGAATGCTGGGATTGATTTTGGGGGTAATTGCCTCAAAATTTTAGGAATTAGGGGCCAAAAAAGGGGCAAAAAACAAGCATTTTTCTAGTTTCATGACAATAACTTGTGTGTAAGTCTATGGATCTTTCTGAAATTTTACTACAAGGTTCCATATCACAAAGGGAAAGCTGGAATTGAGTTTGGGGGTAATTGCCGAAACGTTTAGGAATTGGGGGCCAAAAAGGGGCCAAAAAACAAATTTTTCTAGTTTCCAGACAATAACTTGTGTTCAAGTGTATGGATCTCTCTGAAATTGTACTGCAAGGTACCATACCACAAAGGGAAGGCTGGGATTGATGATGGGGGTAATTGCCTCAAATTTTTAGGAATTAGGGGCCAAAAAGGGGCAAAAAACAAGCATTTTTCTAGTTTCAGGACAATAACTTGTGTTCAAGTGTATGGATCTTTCTGAAATTGTACTACAAGGTTCCATATCACAAAGGGAAAGCTGGGTTTGAGTTTGGGGGTAATTGCCCTTAACGTTTAGGAATTTGGGGCCAAAAAGGGGCCAAAAAACATATTTTTCTAGTTTCCTGACAATAACTTGTGTTCAAGTGTATGGATCTTTCTGAAATTGTACTGCAAGGTACCATACCACAAAGGGAAGGCTGGGATTGAGTTTGGGGGTGATGAATCATAAGGGGGTTCAAAAAATTTGGGGGGGATTTTTTTTTTTTCCTTTTTTTTTTCTTTTAAAATTTTCCATTTTAAGTTGGTTATTTCTGATTTATATTTAAAAACAAATAATAATGATATGGTAGGAGATACACACCAAACAGGATGTGTAAATTATTATATAATAAGTATTGTGCAATAGCAAGAAATTTTCAATTGCACATTATTGCGCAATAGCAAGAAATCTTCAATTGCACAGTATTGCGCAATAGCAAGAGATATCCAATAGCACAATATTGCGCAATAGCAAGAAATTGTCAATTGTACAGTATTGCGCAATAGCAAGAAATATTTAATTGCACAGTATTGTGCAAGAGAAGATACTTCGTATAAATTGATTATTTCTTGACCAATTTCGATGGGGTTTTATTCTTGAATTCTTGGGGTTTTTAATATGCTGAAT